AAGCAGTTTTACAATAAGTAGGTTATTTTCCTGAAGTTTTGCAATAAAATAATGTTTATTGTTATGTACTAGGGAAACGTTACAGATAATTATTTGATAACTTATGACGCAATTTATTCTTTTGTTTTACTTCTTATAATCACTTTCTTAGTCTACAAGATTGAAATCTCTAGTTTCGTCACATAGTATCTTTTGAGTAGGTATAATAGGTACTCAAATATAATATAAAATTATTATAGTTTAGTCCCTACAACAGTATTTAAACATTATTTAATAATTCCTTATTACACTGTTTACTGTTAAAGGTAATAAGGTGTACTTATAAAATATACCTGGTCACATAATAAAAAAAAACTTACCGTGTTTAAAAAATATTATACAGTGAAAAATTTATAATTTTCGAATTATTATTGGATGTTTCATTATCGTTTAGCTAGAAAATTTATGTTTAAACTTCAAAAGCCGGATAAACCTTAACCCCTTTTGTAAAACCAATACATTTAAATTGTTTTACTCAAAGCACAGTCTCTTTTCTTCATAGTATAAAAGCAATTTGACAGAAAGAGATAAATTAACAACAATGTTTGAAGTCGAATGCTATGCACACATTAAGGTGCTTGTTGCCATGGTAACCTGATTTCCATAAAATATTGTCTTTACTCCATGCTCTATAATAGTCCTAGTTTTTACTTCTTTACGAAATATATGTATATTCTTAGTAGAATAAAATAGTATTTTTTATATTAAAAGCATTTTCATTAGGATAACAAAAACCAAATACTTAATGGTAACCATCTGAAAAAGGTTATAGTGAATATTTTGCATATTGTGCGCACCCTGTGAGGATGCGCGGGCGCATAAAACCGCGATGCAATGTCGCCACGGGACAATCACACGCACGCCGCCTCGCGAAACGTGAGTACCTTTCTTATACTAGTGGATCAAATGCGTAAAAATAAATCTAGTATTAATAAAACAGTGAACGTGATATAAGGTTTTTAATTATTTTTTATTAAAAAAATACATTTAACTAATAATTAAATTACAATTAATTTCATATTTAATTATTTCGAAACTTTTTTATTTAATTTATTAAATATTTAATAAGAGTACACACAATTAATAGTAATTCTTATAATAATAATAATAATATACAGCTGTATATTTCGTGACTTACTTCGTGAATTTTTGCCAAATAAGGTTGTGGCTTACTTTTTCCGGTAAGTTCCGGCAATACATATTTTAATTAGAGTTACCAGCATTGTATAAATAATGCAATAATTCATTTCCTAAACATTAAATGAATATTGGACTTCAATGTATGTAACAACAAAGACGTATGTGATTCATTGTTTGTAAACAGAGTTACGTATAATACCGGCTTAACTCGAAAAGGGTTATTTTAACTATAAATAAAAAATAATAATTTTAAATGATGCCAATAAGAAATTCAAAAACATTTTAGTGATAAAATAAATCCATTGGATAAATTAATACATAACTAAAACAAACTCTTTTTTGTTAACCAAGAATTAGGCACTTTATATAACTTAATTTTTAAATTCACTAAAACGAATCTATTTCAAATTTAATTTCTTAAAAATGTTTAATTTTCAGCAAAAAGATTTCACTTAGAATTTTTTTTTCTTTTATATTATTTTTTCTATATATATAGATATAGATATTTTAATTTACTATCAGATATTTAAATTTCGAATATCAGTTAAACGTATAACATTGAACGTAAAAAAGGTTCTACACCATAAAGGTTTCACTTTCGGGCGGTGACCTTAAGTTCTAAGGATATTGACACTATGAACTCATCACTTACTATGCCAAGCACGTGCTGTCGTTGCATGAGCCATGCTAACTGCCTCGAAGAATTTTTTTTCAATATTAACTACGAATTATGATTGTTTTATTCAGCTTCGTCAGGGCATATAAATTCATTTGCATTACTTACACAGTTTAATATTTGGTCTTTAGAACGATGAAGTTTAAAACTATTTGGAAAAAGTGTTAAATGTTTTAAAACAATTGAAAAATTCATAAATCTATTAATACTAATCTGCTGAAAAAAAATTAAACAAAATTGCCAATGGAAGCGTGCGATCTTTATGTCAACATATACTGTTGTATAATAATATAATAAAAATGTTCATCTATCCCTAATATTCTTGTAGTAATTATAAAAAATATTAAATTCATAGAAAACTTTTTTCTTTTATAATAGTATTTTCTGATATCACACGCTCCTATAACAGCCTATGGTTGAAAAAATTGTTACTTCATTAAAAACCAAATATGTATTCCAAATTTAAAATAGACATCAATTTATATTTTTCTAACATGTGCTGCACAGTTCATTGATTCGATGATCGATGCCTGCATACAAATTCGGGAAGTGTTTGATTTTGCTGTTTGAGGAAAAAGTAAAATAAACAAGGAAAAAGGACAATTGTTTAATAAAACACAATCTGTTCAATGTACGTGATTTGGGTGAATCAAAAATGCTTCGTTTCTTTGTCTTAAAATGGCTTAAACATCAATATGAAACATATTTTGTATCGGTAAAGAAATTTAAGTAATGATGACTATCCATTTTTTGTGATTTTTTCTGTTGTTTATGACAAAAGAGGTTGCTTAATATAATGGCCTGGCCCGGCTTGTCTTATTTATACTCTTATTAACATTGAGTGAGTAATAATCGGCGTTATTACTCACTCAATGTTAATTCAAAAATTCGTGAAGGGTTCACACTTGAAATCACGAGCATCAGTTATATTATCTACAGAGAAAAAAGACACAGTGGAGTTACAACCTCTTGTTTTTGGCTAAATTCTGTATCATATGTATGTTCCTCGCGTTGTTCTTTCTTCACTGTACGAGAGAGGTTTCGCACAAAAAATAGGCCGTGATTCGAATGCACGATCACATGGTCGAGTGGTCTACAGAGAGTAGGTAGCTATTTTTATTTCGAACAGTTTGAATGTTCGTCTCTTACGGCAATTAAACGTCTGGTCAAAAAATATAAAAGTCACGAATCCAAGAAAGTTTTAAGGGCAGTTTTAATTAAGACTTCTCGGATTGTCGAGTCTTAAAATAAACCGTTGGAAGTTACATTAAAAAACACCCACACTTTAGTCGCTTTGTTGTCGCGCGAAATAAATATTAACACTTAAAAATTGGTGCCGAGTTTTAATGTCAACAAAATACTTAATAACCCGCAAGATCAACATTAGTGAATACATTAACATAGATAATTAAAATGTATTTAGATATTCTGCGGATGTCAAACCGGGTCTCGTCTATGTCAAATAAGAACTAGTTTATGAACTACTAGTGTATGTTATCTGTATTGGATAACTATTTTATTTTCAACTAGCGGCTTGTCCGGCCGTATTTTGAAAATCTATTTTGGGAATATATTTAGCCTGTTACTTAGGTACTGTGTATCAATATTTTAATCAATATTTTTTTTAATCAGTCCAGTTGTTGAGTTTTTTAATTATAAACATGTTTTCTCTTTGTAATATTAGTAGGTGATGCTGCTTTATGACCTTTTCTAGCGTTATAGTTCAAAACGGTTATTTAATTAATATATACTATAATCATAATAATAAAGCCACTTTAATTATACTATATTATCCAAAAGGGGGTGCATACAGAACACGAAGTAATGAAAAAAACAATACCCAGCTTAGACTATAATAATAACAAAACTAACACTTATATGCTTTGTAATTTGTATGTATGGAATTAAAGTAGCTTTAATTTATACGATATATTATAGCGTAAACAATAATCTCACTTTGACAATACTTTTTAAAATTCGAGTTTTTTTAAATCAAATTAGTGTTTTAGGATTTTTTTCACGAATAAACATATATCACAATTATTCATTAGGAGTTAATAGTTAACTAACCATTTAACATTGAAATAAACTCACATTAACTGTCCTTAAACCAGTCATTAGCTAATTGAACTTTTAATTTCCTAGCTGATTCGCGCTGTTTTATGAATATTAATTAACATACTATTGTATAATTAATATACTATAATAATAATATTGTGTTCATTAAATTAACCTCGAGTATGACGATAAATTTATACAAAACTTTATTTGACAGGTGTGTTTGCTTAAGGGCTTTGTCCAAAATACTTTGTTTAGCATAAAACTGTGCTTTGACATTAATATTTTTTTATTATCTCATTGTTTACCAACTTATAAGATGGCACAATTATTAAGATTTTGGGACGCACAGCGATCCCTGTTTAAATTTTGTTTAATTTACTTCTTTCATTAAGAGTTTTCGGAGAAATTAAAAACGTATTCACGCTTTAAAAAAATGTGTAATGCCTTTTTTAATTTCTTTTCATACGAATCTATTTACGAAACGTTCTAAATCAAAATTTAAGTAACTTATCGATTCTAATTTATTAATATAACCTCAAACCATATGTAATTAAATTAAAAAAAATAAAAAGGATTATGCCTGATAAGTTATAAAGAAGTATTCTTTTTAATAATATAATTTGATATCTGTAGAAACTTTGTTGTGCATAATTATTGTTGTTCCATATAAAGTTCACTAATTATAGGATGTTTTTGCTAAGTAGTTAGTAGTTTAGGTCAGACCGGTGATAAAGTAGAGCGGTTGTACCGTTATAATACAACTATAATATTCCGTTACTCAGCACATTTACTTGTTAAATGACATTTAACTTTTAATTTTATTTTCCCCGCTATTTAAATTTAGAATGTTTTGAATTATATTTAGTCATGAGTTTTTATTACAATAATTATCTAGGGTACTAGGAATATTTTTGCCATATTTAATTTTTTTTTAAATATGTTCCATTTTTAAATTGTTTTGAATGGAACGTAGGTGTAGCGGCAAGTAGCAAGTAGAGAAAGCAGAATTATTGACTTTTCTAATAACTAATACTATTTCAAGGCTTTTAGGTGACTTAAACTTTTTAAATTTGTTTCAGACAAAATGCGGTTATTACTAGCATCGCTTGCAGTCCTGACTGCGTTCTCTACAGCTGCGGGTGAGCAAAGTACAAAAATACATGACAATAGTAATAATAATTATCGTTCCATTATTATAATATAAAAGTGTATTTAACACTTTAATACATAAGTTAGAGCACATTGTCCATACAGTTTATAATAAAACAAAACAAAATCGCTATCGCACCGGAGATAAAACAGTTTGTTTTCAGGCTTGAAACTGTAAGCTAGACTGTTTGCGTCGGTTTCCTTTGTTAACGAAGCGATCGCATAGTTTCACTGTTTACTAATTCCGACAATGCCTTGAGGCTACTCCTATACTGGTATTAATTGGACGTATCTTGCAGCAAAATTCACTATTTCTGATAAAATGCTTCTAGTTCCCGATCGCAACTTCGTAACCGTGGTGTTCTTAATTTAAACTTCTATTTATTAAATTAACGTCTATTGTATGCAATGCAAAGCATGCTTTTATAGTCTATAGTTTATTGCTGAGATGTAAACAAACAAAATTTGTATATAATATGGTAGTATAAGAATAACTATCATAATTATTACTATGTTTCTAAAAGACTTGATATTGTTGTATGTTACCATATCCATCATATAGGTAGAAAAGTATAAAATGCTGAAGGCTTCTTACATGACATGACATGACATATCTTAATATATATAATTCTTCTGTGAGTGTGTATGTCACTGAACTTCTCTCAAAACCAGGGGCCCTTGATGAATGTGTGTGTTCAAGGGATGGATTATATAAAATCGATTACAGTATATATTATATGTACAACTTAATATATATGACTACGAATCATTTATCTGTTATGCATTAATTATCTAGAATAATACATTCCATTTTCAAACTCCAAGAGAGTTGAGATTATTTTATTGGCGCGAATTTACGTAAAATTGGCAAAGTTTTTTGGGAAGTTTATCTTCTTCGCGTAAATCTCAAGTTTAATTTAAATCCGTTCACTCTTACGAATTATAATAGCAGTAAAGTTTATGATTCGGATCGGGGACGTGATCGCGGGATGTGTGCGATTTACATAAAATTATTGGAAGAACTTACATTTTAATACGTTTCAAATTGGAATTTCAGAGTTCAGTGTAAATTAATTTTGTGGATATTAATAACACATTTCAGTTATAATCTATACTGTAACGCTCTTGCTAATTATTCTGTACCACACTACCTATATTAGTTTCAGAAATCAATGGTCAAATCAATTAAATACATTCTGTTAGACAACTTTTATATTACAAAACGCTTCCTTATAAACATCATGTCAAGCACCGGCGTCTGTGCTCTTCAAGGCAAACCTAACTTTTTCATATTATTATCACCAAGTCATCGCATTTCGCACGTCTTCGTTTATGAGAACGTAAAACAAATGACAAGACAAAACGTTCCGTTGCGTGAACGGCATATTGAAATGACGTATTGTGTCAATGCGTATTGGATAAGATGCTGCCGACCAATATCAATCAATCGAGTGTTTCATTCATCAACTAGCAAACAGTGTAATCGACTCCCGGTGGGGGTCTTCCCTGAGAGATACGACCGCCAATTATTTACTGAAAAGTGTATTCAAAGGCCTGCAACGCACCAAAAATGGTTCACTAAAAATAGGCGTCCATGAGCTGCGATGACTGCCCTTTTTGGGTGTTTTATATACAAAAAAATATCTCTCTCTCTCTCTCTCTCAATCTTTCTTACTACCTCTCTCCCACCTCTTGCTCCATGGCACTGTACGTGATGAGACGTTCGCCCTTTCTCACACTCTCTCAATCGGTCTCTCCTTTTTCTTCGACAAAAACGCTGCACATCTTCGTGACGCTAATATTATTATTGCGTTTCATCCGTAAAAAATTTACCCATATGCGCCTAAAGAAGCTTTACTTCAAAAATCTCACCTCCCCACACCCCCTTTGTTATGAATCTCTCATAACGTACCTACGCAACAAGTAGGGCATCACTTATTATATCGCCGCCTTTTTCGTAAGTGTTTATTAATTACCCTACTAGGCAGTTGATGATTAATTACATGGTAATTCCAATAGGTTTGCTAATCTCAATCAAGTCCAATACGCTTAATTATTATGTCTGGGTTGACTTAATAACGCCAATATCGATTTACCTCCGCTTCTGTGCGAATATTGTCCAATTAAGGCAGAACCCTGTTATTATGGAGAAATTAGCTTACGTCGTAATATCTTAATATGGGATCATTTTGGGCTAAAACTATAACAACGGCTTATATGTGATCTGTGCTTATTTATTAATGGACTTTAAGTTCATGTACAAGGTTCAATGTAATTTATTTAATTGTATTATTTTTATTCTTGTAATAATCCTTCTAAAAGCGGGATAATTTAATAGAAAAGAGAGTACCAATTCTTAAAAGACCGGCAACGCACTCACGTACCGTCTGGCATTGAAAGTGTCCATGTATCATTTAACATCAGTTCATTTCCTACCCGTTTGCCCCTTGTTCTATAAACAGCAACAAAACCTGGAAACAATAGAAATATATACATTTGGCGAGAATATTAATCAAGTACTTGATTGTGGGGTGAACAATTAAAAATGCATTATCAACATTTTAATTCGCGGAAATAACCGGTATTAAACCTTCTTTAACAGCGGAACAAGGCCGTATAGTATGCTACTTCAGTAACTGGGCGGTGTACCGACCAGGTATTGGCAGGTATGGTATAGATGACATTCCAGTTGACCTGTGCACCCACATCATCTACTCCTTCATTGGAGTTACTGAGAATACCCATGAGGTGCTGGTTATAGATCCAGAGGTAAGTCACTTCTACATTCTTAATACATTCTAATTGATTAGTTCGTGAGTACTATAAGTGTGCCGAAAATATTTACGGAATTATTAAAGAATACTACTTAATAAAAATCTGGCTTAAGTAGTATTTTTTTTATGGCTCTGGCACGATTTGTGCATTAGCTAGCGTCAAGTATAGGATTTTCTTATAATTCGTGCTTGTCTTTAGAAATTCGACCGTGTCCTCCATGTACGGTTTAGAGGCCGCACCCTCCCAAAGGCCGAGAACCAATTTAAATTAAAACTTGCCCTCGAACCGGGAATCGAACCCGGTACCCCTCACCTCTTAAGTAGTATTGACGCACTAAACAAAGTCGGCAGATCGAAGGTGTTGAATACAGATCGTATTCAATGTCTTCTAGAACAAGCCCACATGCATAAAACAATGTATAAAGCGTAAAGCGAGATTATATCCATAGATCACAGATTTTGTGTGAAATTAATTGGGAGTCAATGCGGCAACATTTATTTACATAATTCGTATAGGCACAGTGCGTGGGTTCAATTGGAGCCAAATAGACTACTCAGAGTTGTTTCCATGAGAAATCTAGACTTATTTTTATTTAAATTTGCTGACGTAATCATGTTTCTCAAAAAACAAACGGTTTCTTAAGCCTGCAAATACTTTATAGTCATTAACATTGTATCAATTGTTGCCTTTTTACCAACTTTCTGGTTTTAAAACAGTGTTATTCCAAATAAAATTCTGCGTATTTAACGAATCAAATATCGTTTAAGAGAATTTAACATGAAATGATTTAAAATTTAATAAGGCAATTATTTTTAATCAAGGTAGATATTGAAAATTGATTTACGATCTTCGTATTAAATTATTAATTAAGTTTCGCGCTATTATTTAAAAATGACATCGTTTATGGAAATTATATTTGTCATATTCTCAAGTGTATTAAATATATGTTGATCGCTTATTCTAGTTTGAATGTTTTATTATAATTAAAGCGATATTTATAAAATGTGTGATTTTCCTTGTAAAAAAAGTGTCTTATCAGATTAGCCAAAACGGTTAATATATATTAAACATATAGTCATGGCGAGGAAACCCGAAAAAGCTAAATTATCTATATAATCACATATTAACTTTTACGATTGACATCCTTACAAATTTCTTCAATTTTTGCGACGTTAGTACTACTTTGATAACAATAACCATATCTTACGAAACATTGTTTTCGACAAACAAGCTAATTCGCAATTTCAGCTCGACATAGACAGGGGAGGTTTTCGTAATTTCACCTCGTTGCGTAAAACACATCCAAATGTCAAGTTCATGGTTGCCGTGGGGGGGTGGGCAGAGGGCGGCTCCAAGTATTCCCGGATGGTGGCGCAAAAATCCTCCCGGATGGCCTTCATCAGAAGTGTTGTTGGTGAGCATTAAAACTTTTTTATTACCCTTATAATGTCTCAACGTAAAAAACAATTGCCTCTCGAAATAAACACAGTACAGCACACACATTTAAACAGTATTCCAGCTCGGGTTTCATAATAAATATGTACCTTATACATACAAAAATTTCAGAAATATTCTTCATAAACACAATAAAAAGTCTTGAGGACTTTTTAGTTGGTCTTAGTTATTATATACCTACTTAAAGTGTTTTTGTTTTATACTTCTTAAACAAGATATATATTGATAATAATCTTATTTAGCCTACCATATACGTGAATATATGACTGCATTTATCATGACAAACGTACTGTGGACTAAAATAAAATTTTAGCCTTTTTAATTATAAAACAATTATACATATTATTAAAATAAAATAATACTGATAACTTCTCGACTGTGGATGTGGTCATATAAAAGATGTATGTTCTAGTGTAACTATTAAGCGACTTTTATACTTATTTGTAGGATAGGATAGTTGAGATAATCTTTAAATAAGGTCTTATATATTTTGCTTTATAAGGCAAGCATACACATATTATTTTGCGGGTTTATTGAGGCACATCCATATCTATTTTATTTGCAATCGTTTCTACTCTTTAATAACCAGTGGCTCAACAACTATTAATGTCTAGACCTCAGTTTGCTGAATCTGTGTCGCGATCATTTGTTCTTATCCTATGAGCCAAGAAGGTAATCAGCCTTTTGTGCCCGACATACGGCGTCGACTTTTTTGGGGCTAAGGCATGCCGATATCCTTTTTCTATACCATGCGAGTGTTAAATGCGCACTTAGAAAGTCCATTGGTGCACTAGCCGGGGTTCGAACCGACGACCTCAGGGAAGAGAGTCGCACGGTGAAGCTACGAACTCCTCCTTCTACTCTTTAATAGTGTAATTAATTTGATTTGAGCTAGTGGCTTCAGCGTGCCACTCTCATCCATAAGGTCGTAGGTTCGATCCCTGGCTGTGCACCAATGGACTTTCTTTCTATGTGCATATTTAACATTCGCTCAAACGGTGCAGGAAAACATTAGAGGAAACCTGCTTGCCTTAGACCCAAAAAGACGACGCCGTGCGTCAGGCACAGAAGGCTGATCACCTACTTGCCTATTAGATTAACAAATTATCACGAAACAGAAATCTGAGGCCCAGACCTAAAAAGGTTGTAGCGCCATTGATTTATTTTTAATTATTTTTTAAATTTTATTAACTTAAGCATTTTTTGGTATGATATAAGTCACTTAAAATACGATGAAAAAATAATATCGATAAGTATTTGAAGATTCGGACACACATTAATCATGGGACAGTATTATTTTAGCATAGGAAGCAGCCGGAAATAATACAAATTTCCTCACAGTGTACCTACTATAGTATATAGTATATTAATATATTAATATTGCAATGTATTATCACAAAGTTCTTGACTGTATCATGAATTATACACACAGTACGTGGAGAGAATGAAATTGTTTTTCCGCATTCTCTCAGATGAATAGCAAGATAATATATTAATTTGTTTTAGATTTATGCCTTAAGTTAAAAGCATGTTTCGTGACCGTTTTTTATTGTTCAAATATTGCTATTTAATATTTAGGTAGATTAACAACTAGTAATGGCTAAATAATACATGTTTAATAGAAGCAACACGATAACATTGTTTATTTCATTGTTATAGTGGCAACATAGAAGAGCGAAAACACACTAATTTGAATTTGCAACATTTAAAACTTTACTGAAATAAAATTCACAAATGAAGACAATAGTGTTTTTAAATTATAATATATATATAATGTTATAGTATATATTTGTGATCGCGTTAAGTTATTTAAGTAGCTTTTGAATCAATAATGAATGAAATAAACCCGGAAATAAGATAGGTACTTCGTAGAATTGAGCGGTAAAATTCTTGCCTTACCTTATACAACGCGATTCAAAAACTGAAATAGTGTAGAAAATTAAATTCAAAAATACCTAGGAGCTTTGTTCAAAACAATAGCTTTGTAATGTCGGCACCGCGTTTTGCACGGAATTTTTATATATCCGTTTCCTGTAGGTAGTCATGTAATATTCGAAGAGTATTTCAGAACAATTCGTCAGTTGTACGCCAGAGACATTGTTTGCTTATATTGTTCTATGAAAATATAGTTCCTTTTTGATTTTTTACTGTTATTTGGATGCTTTATTACGGGGCCTTATAAAGTATAGCTTCTACTTAATATCCATAGAATCTTCATTATTCTGAAACTGAATTTGCATTTTTATAAGCTTGAGTACAGCAAAAAATTGCATTAGCGTTGTTTTAGGTATTATAGTCTCTAACTTAGAAGAGTAACATAGAATCATAAAAATAATAGAATTGTTACATAGTGCAAGAGAAAATTGTTTCAAAGTTTTTCTGTCTGATTTTAACAATTCTAAGTGGCTTTCTCGAACACAACAACTATATGTTCATTGTTATCAGAAATTCTTGTATTGACGTCTACGAATACTACTAAAGATACATAAAGCTGTATACTAACATTTGTCAAATTCGGTAAGAGTTACTTTGATTGAACAAATGCATCAGATACTCTAATAGTTAATAGAATTTTTTCTTTAACGTATACAATTAGTTAGTTTTTTTTAGTTTTTGATAATTCACACCAATTGACCTAATCCCATGCTAAGATGGTGAAGCTTGTGTTATGGGTACTAGGCAACGGATATACATACATATTATAGATAGATAGACATATAAATACATATTTAAACACCCAAGACCTAAGCACAACACCAAATGCTCATCGATGTTCGTCTCAGCCGGGGATCGAACCCGGGACCCATGGATTCGCAGTCAGGGGTACTAACCACTAGACCAATGAGTCGTCATTATACGAAAATAAGATATATAAAGCTATATACTAATCTTATATATTTAAAAAAAAACGGAAATCTTAAGGTTACACTTTGCATACGTCCTGTCAAATTGGATAAGACTGAGTGAACAAATGCATCTGATACTCTAATACTTACTGGAACCTTTACTAATTTTCTTATTTTTATTTCAGATTTCCTAAACAAATACGAATTTGATGGTCTTGACCTTGACTGGGAGTACCCTGGAGCAGCAGACCGAGGTGGGTCATTCTCCGACAAGGATAAGTTCCTATACTTCGTCCAGGAGTTGAAAAGAGCTTTCATCAGAGCCGGTAAGGGCTGGGAGATGACTGCCGCTGTGCCATTGGCTAACTTTAGACTCATGGAAGGGTATCACGTTCCTGAATTATGCGAGTAAGTATACATATTAGTTAGGAATAGTTTATATTGTTTTATTTGTGGGACTAATTACAAGGATATTGCGAGCCAATTGCCTTATTTAAACTGCATGGAATAATTTGGCCAGTATAGGTTTCCCCGTGAGCTCAAAAGTAATCAGAATGGTACTAATTCACCAACGCCATTATCCTTTTATAAATGTATGAAATGTTGTTTCCCGCCGTTCAAAAAGACGCGGACAAGAGCTAATAACATTTGTAGAAATACATACAATACAAATTAAAAAATGCAGACCCATTTTATATTAAAAAATAGTGTATAAGAAACATAAAAACTGTTTTTTCTAAAGAGAGATTATTAAATGGAAAGTCGAGTAAAGACTAAACTATGAAATGAAAATATGTATGGTGAATACATCACTGTACCTATGGTAGATCAAGTATATGTGAAAAATATGGAAATTCCTTTTCAGCCTCCTAGACGCTATACACGTGATGTCATACGATCTTCGCGGTAACTGGGCTGGATTCGCTGATTTGCATTCGCCCTTGTACAAGCGTCCTCACGACCAGTGGGCTTATGAAAAACTTAACGTGGTATGGATTAAGGAAAATATTATATTTTATAGGGGTTTTAACACTCTTTGATACAGTTCATGAGGTGTTCTTGAAACATATTGGGGTTTTAGATAAACAGACAAATTTAATTTAAAATAAATAATACTTGTGTAAATTGTAATATTTATTAATGTCACAATTTTTATTAGAGTTTAATAATTTTATTGTTTACAATGAAGTATAGATTATTAATTTTAATATTTCATATTTACAATCAAGTATTTACAATTTTCTTAACCTATAAAGTCAAAATAAAAATAATTAAAAAGAAAATCAAAACAAATTTAAAAAGTTTGGTCCCTGTGGCAGTGTACTTTATCGCTGGCAGCATTTCCTCGCTGTATTGCGATACTACTAGGCGCCAACTTATATCTTTAATAAGCACCTGTGCACTTGAACTTGAATTAAATTATTATTAATTAATAATAAACAATAATTAAAAATAATTTACAATTTTATTAATTTATTTCACAAATATTTCAGTAGTACAAATGGAAATAATATTTTTTTACTTTTTTACTTCTGTGTATAAATGATTAAATCTGTGCTAAACACTGGCCAATTTTCAGAACGACGGTCTAAACCTCTGGGAGGAAAAGGGATGTCCTTCAAACAAATTGGTTGTCGGTATTCCCTTCTACGGGCGGTCTTTTACCCTCTCAGCTGGAAACAATAATTATAATCCCGGAACTTACATAAACAAGGAAGCGGGTGGTGGAAACCCAGCTCCATACACCAATGCAACTGGTTTCTGGGCTTATTATGAGGTAATTTAAGCTATATAACATAAGAAAAGTAGTATTGATATTTAATAAGAATACATATCTATGGTTTTAAAATTAAATTTATTTGCAAATGTTTGTTGTTTATCACATTATTTTGAAAATTATAACACATTGTATGGCCGCCATACAATTTAAAAAAAATAATAATATTATTAGTTAATACGATTAATTCCAATACAATTCCTAAAGACATTTAAATATGGTATAAATTTCACTTTAAGTATGTTTCGGTACTAAAAAAATCTTTTGATATATTAATTTTTATGACCCTGAATAAATAATCTTACAGATTTGTATGGACGTGGACAAACCCGACTCGGAATGGACCAAAAAATGGGATGACCACGGTATGTGTCCCTACGCATACAAGGGCACTCAATGGGTAGGATATGAGGATCCTCGTAGTGTTGAGATCAAGTTGAACTGGATTAAGCAGAAGGGCTACTTAGGAGCAATGACCTGGGCCATAGATATGGACGATTTCCAAGGAATCTGCGGGGAGAAGAACCCTCTATCCAAACGATTGCACCAATTCATGTCAACATATACCGTGCCACCGCCGAGACAAGGAAATACTACACCAACTGTAAGTTGTTTTACTAACTATTATAGTATATTATTGACAAGATTTTAAAAATCATTTCAATCTATTTATTACTGAATACATATTTTTGAATTCTGTTCTGTTAGCTTTAAAAGTTCATAATTTCAAGAACCCGTCAAAACACTTCTCTAGACAAGATGGCGTCGCACACTACAACGTACCATGTCAGGAAACATATATTTGTATACACTTTAAGATTTACGTGTTTATTATCATTCTTAATTTTTTTTATCATAAACAGCATCCGACGAAATTAATTTAGACACGCGATTATTTACTGACAGATTCATCATCGTCGATTATATATAATCTGTCACTATTTTGTGTCACGTAACTTAATATTTCTAAGACTCTTAACTATGCAAGACGTGGCTTCGGCCTTTACTACCAAAATTATCCAATTATTACCAAGAACAAGACCTGTATGGACTAAAGTCTTTAAAGCATTTGCCTTTCCCATTATGGATAAATTAATATCATCATTAATATTTCTAATTATCGATTTATAATACATTAATTATTATTTACATGTTATAATACTGTTTTATACAGATTACTCTCATTTAATTGAACTAACTAAAATATGCAGAAAATGGAATACACAAACTAAAGTATGGCCCCGTCGGTATTCTATTTTTTTAGTCTTAAATTTCAAAGTTCATGTAGAAAATATAGTTGTACACTTCTCAAAAACATATTTAACTTTGAGCCTAACATACGGAAATATGACATATAAATTGTACTATTAGTCATTTTAATTGTCTGTCACTCACCTATATAAATTTTTACTGCCATATTTAATTCATGTTTGTCGGGAATAAAAATAAATAAATCACCTTTATCAGTGAGTACAATTGTTAATTCGTTTTATATAGCCTGAGTGGGCCAGACCACCTTCAACACCATCAGACCCTTCAGAGGGAGAACCCATCCCCACCACAACTAGAGCTACCACCCAAGCTAGCAGTATTACTACTACACAAGCCACCACTTCTACTACCGCTACCAGCGAAGTAGCTGAAGAACCTCAAAAACCTGTCCTGGATGTTGAACAACCACCAGCGGTATTTATTTTATTTCTATTTCATAATTTTTTTATTACCTTTCTTAGGTCAAATTGCATGTTAAATTAAAAATTATATGAGTGAGCCGTGTTGGCCTAGAGTAGAGGCTTCAGCGACTCTCATCCCTGAGGTCGTAGATTCGAACCACAGCTGTGCACCAATGGACTTGCTATATACGCTTTGAACAGTCGCGAAGGTGAAGGGTAACATCGTGAGGAAGCCCTTAGACCCAAGTCAACGGCGTGCATTAGGCTGATCACCCACTTGCATATTAAGAAAAATAACGGATCACTTAACAGATATACCAAAATCTGATTCCTAAACCTAAAACGTTGTAGCGCCACTGGTTTTATTCGTCGAAGGAGGTTTTTGTTGGACGATGATCAACAAAACCGTACAATATAAAACTTTTGACCAATGTAGGGCTGTCCACACAAAGATTTTATAAAAGTTTAATAATTCAATTAATTTCATTCATTCAATTCAATTCATCAATTCTTGTTTGTCTCCTATACCATGAGATGAAGTGGATAATCTAACATAAAGTACCATAAAAAAATGTTACCTTAGTGCGTTTATGCTGGTAAAAATGCTAGTATTACCGTAATATAGGGGCCCCAGCCCAGCGGTCTTATTAAGTGGCAGCTAGGTGGGGGGTACCGGGTTTAAATCCCCTTTTTTTGAGGGCAAGTTTTAATTTAAATTTGTTCTCGGCCTTTGGGAGGGTTGTGCGGTACCGGGCGAGTGCCTAAACCGTACATGATGGAGGACATGGTCGAATTTCTAAGGCAAAAGCACGAATTATAAAAATCTTTTACGCCTCGCCCCCTGGCTAATGCACAAACCGTCCCATAGCCATTAAAAAAAAAAGAAAAACCGTAATACCCTTAAAACAATTTTTATAAAAAAATGTTGACAGGAGAATGAAGTGGATAGCCCCGAGATCTGCAGCTCTTCCGAAGATTACGTAGCGGACAAAAGTCGGTGCGATAAGGTAAGATTAACAGAATACCTAATTTTTTAACTTTGTTAGCTGAAATAATTTAAAATTGATTGAGATCTTAAATCTTATTTGTACGGCTTAAGACAGAAGTTATAAATAAGTAATATAAATTTTAGAATACGTTCACTTTATATAAGTATTTATACAATCCATATAATAAAATACTTGGTTCCTCTTGTAAATATGTATTGTGTTTTCGAATAAGGTAATATTGCTTGAACGTGAACCGTAAGAATAGCTTTTAGTTTTGTTTATTTTTATTTTATTATTCTTTTATTTTAGATTCAATTTGGCAATTGTATAACTTTTCAATGTTATTTTTAATTTTGTTGATTTGGTTCTGCATTTCTTGCACTTTATTTTTATTTATTAGTATTTCTTTTTTTTCCTTATAAGGAAATTCCCAAACAGCCGCCCGTTGCATTCCTAATAATTTATTTTATTTGTTTTTATTTTAATGTAACGAAGTTTAAATAAATATATAATATGTATATAGTGACGTATTTGTTGTTTAAGAATACATCATAGAACATTAAAACGAAGTAATTCCACATTAACGGTAGTATATATATTTCATACAAAAACGTAACTTTATTAAAAACTATTTTTAGTTATAATTAATCTTGAATCTAATGTTCCGTAGGACGTTCATTATAAGTTCGTATTGCTAAACTTCTCGGCCTTAGATTATATAACAATAATTGGAAATAGGAGAATGGTCTACAGTAGTTGGTCGTGACATCATAGATTTGTTTATTATTTTTAAACAAAGTTTTCTTTTTAACGATAATTTATTTTGCTATTTACATACCAAATTGTTCCTGGTATTATACTCGTAAATCTGTGTATGATTGACAACATTTTAAAGGTTAACTCAAAACATACCTGCATATATGTATGAAGTCTTAGTTTTGCTAGTAATCAAAGGGTTTATAAGATTTTTCATATAAGTTTCATTCGATTGTCAAATATTTATAACATTTTTTTTTCAGTACTGGCGTTGCGTGAACGGGGAAGGCATGCAGTTCACATGTCAGTCTGGGACTGTCTTCAACACAGCGTTGAATGTATGTGACTGGCCTGATAACGTTGATCGTAGCGAATGTAAATAGTCTTCATGTTTAATGTAATGCTTAAAAGACTTTATTCGATGTACACTGATACAATCTAAGTTCAATAGATCGCGTGGTAAGCGTGCTGGGAAGAAAAATGTTAATTTCTTGACCGGAATAAAATTCTTCGGATAAAATTAAAAGATAAAAAAATTGCGTATTTCAGTCATATAATTTTGATGGATATTATTATTTTATTCACAAGTCTTATTGCACTATTTTAATATATGTACATTTGTCTTTTTCTGCCAAATTGTGTTTACGATGTGATAAAAAGAGATAGATGAGTACTTTAGTCAAAACAATGCAATATGATTTATTTTTATAAATATATATCAGCTTAAGTTAAGTTAATTTCTTAAAGAAATTCTATTGGTAATTCTATGTTCAAAGTTTAAAAAAAATCGTTTCAAATTAATTTTAATACAAAAATATTGTCCCAGATGCTGTGTCCCAGACAATATTCCCTAACTGTTTTTTAAATCTTTAGACTCGATAATCTCTTAAATAACAAAGCCCGGTTTAACAAAGTTTTACCACTTCAGAGGTTCGTAGTACATTGAATAAAATAGTCTTTTAATCGACGTAGATTAGTGATTAGACTTTTAAGAGAAGTAGAGATGCATAACAAGTATATATAATTTGTGTAGATAAAGAGTAATTTTATCGTTTAATTGCACTTTAAAAGCGAATCTGTAAAACGACTTCATGAGTACATTACCCTTTTAAGTTATTATTTGACTTCATATTAGTAATTTATGAACTCCCACAGATCGTAATAAAATTCTCTTTATCTTGTATTAAAATCTTTACCACTATAAAAATTTTAAAATAATGTGAACATCATTTTATGTTTGTGTCAATATGTTCTACGTTAGTTGTAAGATTCTTTTAAAACGGTTTCGTTTATAAATTGGTTATAATCGAGATTGTTTTATTAAATGATTTAGTGGAAGACTGGTAAAAAATGAAATTATGTAACTCACTTTCATATAATAGGTAATAAGCATAAGTGTTCAGCGTTCAGACTGAGTTATTTATTTTGCTGAAGGATTAAATATAATAAATTATATTGGCATTTTTATTTTCTCAAAGTCAAATCCAGAAGTAAAGATTAGTAGGAGAGAGGCATTGCAAATATTGAAAAGTGTTTATAGAATAATAATGTACTCAGTAACTTCCAACAGCGATCAATATTTTGTAATTGTCGCTTTTTCTGTTTTAAGTTTATAAAGTACCTGCGAATGAGAAGCACACACGGAAGAGCTTTAAAGGGATGAAAGAAGGACTGTAGAGAGAAAGGAAAGGTGGAACGATCAATGGATAAAATGTCACAAAAATATCGTATTACGCACACAATGCGCTTATGAATGCCAAAAAAGTTATCATATAGGAATGGACTGAATAGGTACGCCCACAATATTTTCATAAGAATCTATGCAAATATCAGCAAACAATAGGTCAAAAACTTGATTACAAAAACTTAAAAGTAAATTTACTGTTTTGGATGCAGTGATACTTTTTAGTAAGTACACATATGAATAAATATCAATCAATATAAAGCCGCAGATTTTGTTTGGTTAGAACTAAGAAATAGTCCTTTAATTGTATAGTGATATCGTAAAAGGTTTTAGGGTAAAACAACTCAAGAAATTAACAATACATAAAAGTTTGTGAGGCTAGACATAATTGTGGCTGATAGTGTTAGTGAATTAACCTCGCTCGTTACACATTATGTGGCTACATCCATCACTGTGCAACCACATACATCATTCATTCTGAATTTACATGCACATATTTAGGTAATTCATATTATGATTAATAATTATGATATGTGTATTGCACTATTTTCAGAGACTTTATATACCTAATGCTGTACGTGGGTAACACTGAAAATGTTTAGAAATGGCCTGTTAGAAACATTGCTAATGAAAACTTTTTGATTTTCCATTTTAGAACTCTTTGGTAACCTAATGTAGTATTGATATCATTTGTCATTTGTTTTTGTGGCGGCAAATCTAAAACTCTTGTTACACGAGAAAATTAACCTAACGCGAGAAAATTTTCGGTCAATGATTTATTACGACTTTCGTTGTGGGCTTACTCAACAACAAAGCTATGATAGGCTGCGATTAGCGTTTCTTAATGAAGCCCCATCTTGTGCCACTTTTTCACCATGACAATACTTCAGCGCACTCCGCAAAACGGACTGTAGAATATTTGACTATGGCAGGTGTCGAGATAATGAGTCATCCGCAGTAACAGTCATACAGTCCTGACCTGGCGCCCTGAGACTATCGTTTATTCCCCAGATCTAAAGATAAAATTCGAGGTATTCGCTTTACAAGCCCTGAAAATGCGGTAAAAGCGTAAGTAAATTCCATAGAAGAGACCCCTAAGGAAGAATGGGCCCATTGCTTTTCTCAGTGGTTCCATCGAGTGCGACGATGTGTAGAGAGGAACGGAGGTAACTTCGAAAAACAATAAAAGTATTGGCAACTCTGTACATTAAGCCGTTATTCATTTTCTAAACATTTTCAGTGTTACCTAGTAATTAGTCTGGCTCGGCTCTCAGTAATGGCCTCAAAAGGAAAGATTGCAAGTCTCTACGTCTGCTTGCGATTGGGTAACATCACCAATTATGATTGGACTATCACAGACACGCGACAGTATTCGTTCTTTGATTTCAGTAGGTACACGAAACGTGGCGGCGTTGTGTTTTTCATTTAGTATTTTTACTCTGTTATGCCACTAAACTAATATACATTTTTATTTAAAAAATCGGTAAAGAATGCCATGTTCAAAGTTCAAAGATATTGACATTGGTAATCATCAAAGTAAATAAATTTTCTACGGACTAAAATTTACATATTCTGTCAAATTAGCCACGAATAAAACCACCAAACATCGTTCAGCAAACCTGAAAAGGCGTACACAAACACAGCTCGGGATCTTTATCATATTATTCTAACCTTTGGCAGACACTGTACGTGGGTGATAGAGTCAACATATTATCTCCCTGTTTCTCCGCTGTCTTATAATAATAATGAAATACTGAAAATAATGAAATACAGTGACTGCCAGAATTTATCTAATCATATAAATAAGTTATAGCGGCTTCTTATGGTAAAAGATTTAAGCTTATTCAGTAGTTTTTAAGGTTATTAATTTACAAACATTCATATCTTTCCTCTGGATACTTATAGTATGGACTAGCGATTTTACGAGGCTAGGATATTTCAGATCTGCCGTGCGATTCTGTTAATCCGTGAGTTCACATCGCACTAACAACGCTCCCTTCGTCACTCACGTCATTTTTGGAATCTCATGGTATTCTGTTAAGCAATTTCACATTACGTCTTGACAAGCGGAGGGAGCTTGTAGTTTATTGTTTACCAGAATGCCAAATCGTAAAGTGACTGCTTCCGACTGATTTGAGCGCGACCACCGCTGCGAAAACCGCTGTGGGAGTTCGAAAAGTGAGTTACAGAATCGCAAGGCTGTATTTAGAGTCACTCTGCATCTTCTACCGCATTTACTACGGAGAGTGTTCAAAGGAGTTGTTCGCATTAATACCTTCAGCTGAGTTTCATGATGAGCCATCGAGGCAGAATACAAAATTCCACCCGTATCACCTCGACGATCGTAGTTCCACAACTCCGCGTTTTTTAAGGCAGTTTCTGTCGCTCACCACCACAATGTCACCAATTCGACTTAGGATCCTTCATGAAAAGAACGTACCAACCCCTAAAACGCCAGCAATGCAGTTGCGATTCCTCTGTGCATTGAGTGTCCATGGGCGGCACGTTTGTCCCCTTAACTATAAAAAATAGAAAAGTCATAGATTAACTGATCTCTAATGGTAGATAAACTAATTCCAATTACATTGTATTGTATCTTAATCCCCGATTTTTTTAAGCACTAATTTAAGAACCGAAAGTAAAGGCTCATTTTTAGCTTTCGTTTTGATTTATGGTAAACATATTTTTTTTTTATAGCTTATAGCTAATAGCTTGAGTAACCTTCAACTCAAAATGAATGACTCTAATGTCTGTAATAATGCCAATACTATAATGCTCAAATAGCTTTTTCAATATTTCGTTCTTATCACTTTAAATATAAAGAATCGTGCCAAAGTATTTCATATGAATAAGATCCTAAGTTCTCTTCAATGAAGATAACAGTACGATACGATAAAATTGAATAGTCGTTTGATATGAGACGGCGACGGTATCTTTTAAGGCCCACTTAACTTTATATCAACAATACAAAGGTAAATCAGACTTCAACGAAAGGAAAAATAAACAATAATAAATAATAAGCGTTATTTGTATGAAACATAAAATTGTGTTTATTCAATATTAAAGTATTTAAATGTTGTATAATTTATTATACCTTTTCGTATGCAATGCTCGTTTTAACAGATTGCAGATTGCATCTCATTAATTTGGAATTTAAATGTTTTACTGTGCGTAAAATAGAACTCGTTGTAGTAAAATATTCATTTCTTTCTTTTGTAGGAACGAACATAATATTTGTTTTTGTTCCGTTTTGATAAAGTAAACAAAGCTTACGTGGACAAGTGGTTAGCATGGAGGATCGTGTAGCAATTTCCTGCGAAACTTATTATTGTAAAATGCTTAAATATTATTTTCTCGGAAATAAAAGCTTGCTAGACAAGCACGCAAAAAGTTTTGCGGGCTCGTCCGGGATTTGAACCCGGGACCTCTCGCACCCTAAGCGAAAATCATACCCCTAGACCAACGAGCCGCTTATATAAATTTACGAAATTGTTCAGCTGTTAATAAATCTCCGTCAAATTTCAACTATGGGGTCAGATACTTTCATATTTACCGTTCACATAGCCATACAGAAAGCTTCGAAATCAGTTTAATTTTTAATCACTGGTCGTTTTTTATTATAATCGCTTTGCGAAGATCAAGCCAAAAGGACTTCGATTGATTTTCTTCACCATGCTTATAAATTACATATTATCTTTA